AGATCCTATGAAGAAAATAAAGCAGAATAGAGTGATAGGAGAAACTAATTTAGGGAGGGTTGTCAGGGAGGTTTTCCCTAGGGGAGGACATTTGTGCATATTGCAGGTGGTATTCCCAGCAAAAAGAACAGCAGGTGCAAAGGTCATAGGGCAGGATCAGTTACACCTGTTATCATAACAGGAGAGAGGCCAGTGTTTTGGAGATAAGTTCAGCTGTCTCCAGGGCCAGAGCACATAGGGCCTGAGAGGTCATGGTAAAATGGTAAAGAAATTGTAAAAATATTCTTATCTTATATTCTGGAGATAATTGAAATAGCCAATTCTTAGAAATTGTAAAGAATAAATCTTACCCATTGGAAGGATTATACATATTTTTCTGAGAAAAATGTAACAGCTCAAAGTGATAATCTCCATCTCACATTTGATAATCACTACATTATTATAAAAAGGGAAATTACAAAATTAATTAAGGGCTTCATAAATTTTTCCCGGGACCACTCTTAATGCTTTGATAGGTGACTCATTCCCTTTGGAATTGACATGTCAGCATCCTTGACACTTTTTTATTCTTTGGTTGTTATTGCCAAAACCTCACTTCACACTGGTTTTGAATGTGATTCAAGCTGTTCTGCAATATCACTTTCACCAGCTTCATGAAATCTTGCCCCTTTTGTAAAAATTGAAGCTTTACTTATCAATCAATTTATGTTTCATCTGCATTTTATTGTCAGATAAATCAGAGAGAGATTGCAAAAGATGGACTTGATGTACACTAGCATTAATTTGGGAGGGATATTTGGATGGAGATCAATATAATAAACAGTCTGTCACTAGTACATATTTTTGGTATCACAACTTTGCTTCCCTGGGCACCTTTGAATCTTCAGGAGCTCAGTTACTGAACACTCAGAGAATGAGGACTCTTGTTATGCTGTCCTCAGTGGAGCTAGTGAAGAAATAGATTAGGTTGGGAGACAGGGAATCTGGAGGAGGTTTTCTCTCTCTTTTTTTTTAATGGAAAAAAATTATCTTTTCATGCAAGAGTCCTCTCTTTCACAAGGAAGCCTGGTCATTCCCAAGGGTATGGACAGGAAGCTACAAGTCACTCTGTCCAGGCCAGTAGAGCAGGCCTCTGTTGATTTCCTGGCATTGTAAAGATTCTGGCTTCTTGCCCCAGCATCTTGCAGAAAGTGACTTCTCAGAATTGTCTGTTTCTCCAGGGATGTGCAAGTATTTTAAATCGAAGAATTGTAAACTGAGAACAAAGACAGTTTGGATGAAGCCAATTTCATCTGGAGCAGCCCGTCCACATTTAGTAAAGTTTTAAATGTTATTGTTCTTAAAAAAAAAAAAAAGCTATGTAAACACTGTGCGTCATAGGAAGTAGAAAGAAAATATCATCTATAAGCCTCCTACTCAAGCACAAGTGGTATTGTTCATCTTGTTCCAAACTTGGGATATAATACTAATGAAAATAATAATAATAGCCAGCATTTATTTACTATTTTTAAAATTTGTCAGGCATGCCATTTAATTTAGTCTTCATAAGAACCCACAAAATAGGTCATTATCATCTATTTTACAGATGAGAAAACTGAAGCAAAAAATGTTGTTCATGTTTACACTATTAGTAAGTGGTGGGTCCTGAGCCTTGACAAATCTAGGAGTTTCTTTCTTTTTTTTTCTTTGAGACAGTCTTGCTGTGTCACCAAGGCTGGAGTGTGGTGGCGCGATCTTGGCTCACTGCAACCTCCGCCTCCCAGGTTCGAGTGATTTTCTTGTCTTAGCCTCCCAAGTAGCTGAGACTACAGATGTGCACCACCACGCCAAGCTAATTTTTGTATTTTTAGTAGAGATGGGGTTTCACCATATTGGCCAGGAACTCTGACCTCGTGATCTGCACACCTCAGCCTCCCAGGCCAGCCAAAGTTTCTTTCTTGACCACTACACTGTTGCTTTATATCTTGCATATAGTCAAGTCAATACATTAGGATTGACAATTTTATAATTAACTGTTTGTATTAGATCTGATATTAAGATACTGGTTTTAAGAGCAATATCTGATATTCAGATATTGATTTTAAGAAAAATGTTGAGCATTTTAACATGTAAGTGAATTAACAATATTCAAATCTAACATTTTCATTTTCCCTTTATTTTACTTATATTGTATAAAATAGAATTGTACATATAATATACATTATGTATTTCATATACGTAAATATGCAATATATATTTCTATTAAAAGTGTTATGATGCCAGGGCCTGTGTCTGGCTTATTCAAAACTATGGGATAGTAATAAGCATGTAGAATCATTTGTTCATTCATTCATTTGTTCAATAAATATACCAGTTAATTCCCTTTGCATTTTTTTCCTGATATACTCAGGAGTTCTTTTCTCAAAATTCCTAGTCATACATCATGTTAACTGGTGATATATTTAATAAAAAATTATTTTGGTGTTCAACGAATTTGAGGACCACTAGTTAAAAACAGATGAAAAAACTTTGCTGCCTAAAGTACATTGTGAATTTAGAATATGTATATTTTCCCAAACTTATTTTTGATCATGTAACTTTTAAAACACTTTCATGGATTATCTGGATATTAGAATTTCACTGCCACTTGTGAAACACTGGCGTAGAACTTACTGCTTCATAAACTCAATATTAATTTTTCTACTCCCCTTTTCAAACTCCCCTTCAATTGCTCTTTAGTAAAGCTGAGGGTCTCCAAAATAATCATATGCTGTATGATATTCATTAGTATTGTCCTATTTCAAGTTGAACAGTACAAACATCATAAAAAGCCAGTTAAAAAGCCACTTATAAAGACAATTTCTAAACCTGATTTAAGAGGAAAACAAATGTCATAAGAATTAGTTGAGAAGTAAAAATTAAAATGGTTGATTTTCTTATATACTGCCAAATCATGTGTTTTTTTAGGGATGTTTTGGTTTTTATCCATAATCAACTGTATCAACCAGTTGTTTTCATTGTATGTCAGTACTGCCTAAAACCTAATTTTGGTCCTTACTATTGACAAGTTGCCGAGAACTCTTACTTCTTTTCCTTGGACATTATTGAATACTTGCATTTATTAGGTACATTTGTTATTTCATTTTATTTTCAAAGGGCGTGCTTTATTTCATAGAATGAAAAAATGGTATTTGGCAGTATACAAGAAAATTAACCATTTTAATTAAGGTTATCCTTAATTAAATGTCCAAGTCCTATTTCAGATTAAAAGCATTGAGCATTTCTGTTACAAATGGTAAATATTTACAGGAGAATATTTATAGGAGAAAAGTGTGATCTTTCTCTACACTGGAACACTTGGAATAAGCCCCATAGTCAATGAGTACAAGGGGTTTCTGGAAATTAATAACCAATTAATCTATGAAACCAAGAAGGCTGAATATAGACTTACCTTCTTCAGTCTGAATAAACAAGGAACACATGTCACTTTGAAATTGCTATGTAATGAATACAGTGAAGCAGGGATGTCTCTTACTCCTGAATTTAGCTCAAATGAAATAGTAGGTGGCTTAGGAACATATATGTATTATATAGTTATACATACAAAGGATTAATATTTCTGAACTTATTTTAGTTCATAGAATTCAGCCTGACCATATTAAGTTTTCATTCAGTTGATTTTAAAAATATTTGGAGAGAAGAAAGCAAAATTGAAAAGAAACTTAATGAAACCTGTTTTTTCTTTGAAAACTCATTTTTATTTTTCAAGGTGTAACTTAAAAAAGTTGAACTACAACTCTCGTACAAACTTAGGTAGGCAGCAGAGATCTATTCACTTATTAATGGGGAAAACTAAAATGATGAAGCTGGTTCCAAGAGCATTTTGGGGATCTGTGTATTTACAGGCATTGAGAAAGAAAGTTTGGTTAGATACAAAATGATTGTTCCATTAGATGCAAAATTGGTTAACTTCCTATAGTGCAATAAAATCATAAACACTGCGGTAATCTTTTTCTCTGGATAGACTGAATAAAATATGCAAGTTACCATGTAGCTTCACTGTTGCTGAGATCTAATCAATAGTGAAGAGCGAAGCCAAACGAAAGTACAGAATTAACTAGCCCCTGGGTGGACCTGTTAACCAATGTCTCAGTTTGACAATGAAAGATCACAGTCTTCTCCCTTATTTCCAAGTTTCGTAAATTTTCTGATTACCCAGTTAGAAAAATAATGAGTTTTTTTTGTTGTTGTTGTTGTTAACTCGTTAACTTATATAGGTTTGGACTAAAAACCACTATCCCAGCTGCTTCTGGGAGTAGAAAGATTAAAAAGGGGGATGGGGAATCTTATTTCAAAATTCAAATAAAATAATTCAAATTCAAATAAGAATATTTAATAGATGCTACATCCCATATCCAGGTCAACATGGCAGGCGAAATGAACAATGCAGAGAGCGCAGGACAAATATCCCCAAGTAAATGAAGCCAGTGGGGGGACTGACAGTCCTTCGTTCTTCCAATAGGGCTACCTTTATTCAAAGACATAGCGTTTGTGGATTCCGTCTCTGCATCCTTTGTAAAGGTGCTAGCTAGGGAGCCGAGCTCAGGCGGGCTGCTCCGGGCATAGCAAGCCCCACCCCTGCACAGCGTCCTAATCACCAGCTAACCCCTGGAATAAATTCTCCACTCGCCCTACGTGGGCTCATTCACAGCTCTGTAGTCCGGGGCTGGGCGCTTTCTCTCTGGGACTGAAATAAGAGCGCTCTAGACAGATCAGGTGTGATGCAGCCAGCCCTGCTTCAGAGCCTATTCTTTTTCCTAGGCAACAGCAACAATAACAAAAAAAAGCACACACACACACACACACACACACACACACACACACACACAATAAAACACCAAACAGCAGCAATGCCCTCTCCCCCTTCTCGTTCTCTCCTGACTTTTTCTGAACGTTGGTTGACTCTGCGAGCCTCCACCCTGAGGGTGGGGTGGGAGTGTGGGGGTTGGGGTGAGCTCTGTAAAATTGGTAGGAGACGTGTGGAAGAAAGCAAGTCTCCCGGGTATTTCAGCACTTCGGCAGAAACACGGGGGCATTCTCATTGGCAGCCTCGGGGGTGGCTGGCACAAAGAGCCCAAGATTAAACGCGGCGCTTGGGCTGGCGAGGTTGGGGTCGCGCGGTAACTCTCCAGGTGCTCCTCGCTGGCTCCCGGGGTCCCGGCCCCGCCGCCGCGCCCCGCCCAGCTCTGTCCCCGCAGCCTCCCGGGCTGCCGGGCTTTGTGGTTCGCCCGTGCAGCTGGGCCCCTGCTGGGGGTGTCGTTACGAGCATGTGCAGACAGCAGCCCAAGGTAGAGCGAGCGTGCCGGGCGAGCCCGGAGACTTGCCTTGCAATGCCATGTTTGTGTATATGCTCTAACTCCCGGAGAGCAATCAGGGAGACGGCTCCCCAGCCAGACTTGGCTGATGTTTTCTTGTTTCTGTTTCAGCCTTCAGGATAATTCCTTCAGCAGCACCGCTGTAACAGAGTAAGTGATTCTTACCCTTAAAATTAGACTTGCATGCCTTTCTCTGGAAGCAACTATCGTGAAGGTATCCTCCACCGTTCCCAGCCGCTGTTCCTTTGAGCTGCATTGTTTCCCCGAATCTGGGGCTGTGAAGACCGTGAGACTTGCTGTCTGATGGGGCCCAGAAATCTTTACAGGTTGAAACCAGCATTTTAGTAGCTGCGGGAGAGATATTAAAACCAGCTGATTGCTTGCAGGAGCTCAGTGCTCCAAGATATGTGTTCTTGGAGCTCAGATTTAAAAAAAAAAAAAAAAAATCTATTTGACGTGTTAGAAGGGAAGCTTTGTTGTATTTTGCCAACACTGGTGTCAGTTTTCATGGAGTGCACACTATATACATTTACAGCAATAGGAGATAGATGTGAAATGAGTTGAATTCCAGCATGTGGTAAACAGGCTAAACTTATCTTGGCCCTATCTTGTCTACAGATTTTTAAGACATATCAGAGTAAACTTTTCTTGCATGCCCTTTGTCATTTTTGTCTTCTGACTTCAGAGATGTAGCTATAGGAGGAATGAATCACCTGGTCCTATGGTTAAAGCTGTTGATTAGGGCAACTAACACCCTTCAAACATGGAATGAAGTGTGCCAGAGAGCACAGTATTTTTTTTTTTTTTAGATATTTATAGTTTATAGTTTTAATTTTTGTCATCCCTTCCTTAATATGTTTTCCTAATATCGTACTATATTTGTTAAAAATTAACAGGTAGTATATTTTGCTAATGCTGTATGTAATTTATATATATGTGTACGTATGAATATACACTTCATTTAGCATTCTTTCTCTAGGCTAATTCATGATGTTTGCTTCTGGGACCTTTGTAGAAAGCACTCTAAACAGCTTTTCAGGAAAAGGGCATGTGTAAAGTTGTATCCCCAACTACATTTTAAAAATGTTATGAGTTTGATATAGAAGGCCTCACTAACTGGGGAGCTGTTTGCTAAAATTCCCTCAAAAGCAAATAAATGTAGATATAGGTATCTTTTGACTTCCAAGTCCTACCACTGTCACAAGGACTCGGTGAGGGAGGGGTAAGATTTCCAGTACTTCCCAGGCCCTCTTGTTTTCCACATTCTTTTGTTTCTCTCTTTTGATGTGCTGCTCCTTTAGTGTCCAGTGTTGAGCAGACTTAAGTGTTGAGTCACTTAAAACGAACAACCAACCAAAAAAACAGGTTGACTGTAAAATATTCATTTGGACCCACATTTTGTTTATGAGATTGCTTGGTAACCTGTGCTGCAATGTTGCTTTTCTAAAAGCCTGAGAGATGGGGGAGAGGTGTGCTAAAGTGTACATCTGCAGGCCGAAGATGAGGCCTGGACTTCCTGCTCCAGGTGCACAGGTACTGCTCTCCTCCCTTGGCTGTGCTTACAAGCACCAAATGCTTTCTGGCCCCGATTCTCAGGAGCCCGATGTGGCGGAATCCTCAGTCAGTTGCAGGCACGGCAGGTTCAAAATGGAGACATTTAGCTCCAGATTTCAGATAGACATTTTTTTTTTTTTTTTTTTTTTTTTTTTTTTTTCTGTGGAGGTTTCATGGTTAAGTGCTGGGGAGAGTCTGGTGCCTTGTCTTTGGACACTCCCCAAGGAGTTCTGATTGCATAAGATCATGTTTTTACTTTCAGAGGAGTGACAGTGATTTATTTTAAAAGGCACTGAGAGATAATTGGTATGCCATCTGGCTAATATAAAAATCTAAAGAGCCTATTGAAAACATACCAAAAGCTTCATAGGTGTAACACATCATTGACTGGGATTGTTTAAAACTAGTCATTGTCCACCATAACATTTCCCCCTCCCCTCAGTAATATGAACCATATTCCGTGCTTCTCTGGGCATGACCCCATAACCCTCAGGACCAAGGTGCTATAGCCTGAGACACAGACACAGCAGGTGCTCTGGAAATGTTTGGGTGTGGCCTTGGCCTACACAGAGGAGGGACTTATCTCCCTTCTGTGTTTTGGATACAAGAAAAGCTCTTCTGCCTCCTGTCCCCACGCCATTCCTACTTCCTTCTACTCACACCCACTTATTTCCTTCAATGCCTGAAATTTCACCTAGAGATCATTTCTTTTGGATTAAGGTCTCTTGTAGTGACCCTTATTAAAATGGAAATTAAAAAGTTTGTGCCCTTGGGAAGTGGATTCAGATTGTCATGAATACTTTAATATGAATTATTTTACCTAACCTGTTTTCTAACCTGTTATGGCTATGGTTGTGCTTCACCAGCAGGGAGTCTTAGAAGAGTCAAGGGGAAAGGGAAATTGGGAGGTACTCAAGGACGGATTTTATCTTCTTCTTGGTTTTTCCCAGGCCTGGCACTATCTATGCAGCTCTGGACAAATTCAATTTTTTTTCCACCCCAATGTTTTCGTCACAATGGCCTTGGCCTTTTCTTCTCTATCTGTGGCACCTTTTCATCTACTATTTTTGCATGGTCATTTGTGACGTTGCCCTAACTAACTTGCTATTTTGAATAAAGCCTGCAATAATTCTGATTAGTTATCATTCAAAGCAGTGGTTCTCAAAGCTAACTGATCATCAATAGCAATGGGGAATGGGATTGGAGCTTGTGAAAAATGCAGTCTCCCAGGCTTTTTCTCAAAGTGGGAACCCAGAATGGGTGATTTCATTGGTGTCAGGACAGTGCTGGTTTGGGGTTTGGAAACCTTTAGGTCAGTGTTAAATATTTAGAAACATAGAGGTTCTATGGTACCCATGTGTTTTAAAAATCCACATTCCTGGGCTCTGCCTTCAAAGAGTTGATGTAGTGGGGCTGGAGTCTTCTATGTTGACCAGGCACTTCAGGTAGTGCTAATGCAGCTGGTTCTGGGGCCACATTTTGAGAAACCACACAGGAGGCTGTACATCTGCAAGTCTGCCTTCAGGGAACGTGGTACTATAGGGCAAGTGTAAATATCTTCATAGCACAGCTACATTTTATCTCGCAGTCAGTCTGAGGCCTCTCTTCTGTTTTAGGCAGCAAAGATAACTTATTGTGGGCACTTCTTTCACCATCATTCCTCTAAGAAATGGCATGCCCTGTCTCTTGTAAGCCTCTGGCATATAGACTGAACAGATCATTTGGTTCCTGCGTTTTGGGCTCAACGTGGTGGAGCAGAAACAATTCAGGCTTCACTGCTTTAGGCCTTGGGATCTTGACTTACAACTTAGCCCAGGTGCACAGGTAAATACCTCAGATCGATCTCAGGCTGAATTGAGATTATATAAAAGAACAGGTGAGCTGTGAAGTACCACACAACTTTTTCTTGTTTGTGGTTGATTGAGGGAGCAAAACTACAAATAGGAAAAAAAAAAAGTAGCAACCCTGAGCATTTCACAAAGAAATAAGGGGCTTCAGGGAAAGGACAGAAAGGATTTGTTAACTGAATAGAAGTTGATGGTCTTTACCAAAGTAAATGAAAATTCAAATGAACTAAAAGAGGTTCTAAAAGTGTGCCGTGTAAGCCAGGAGATAGCTGTATTTCAATTACTCTGTGAGCTTGGAATTGTGTTCCTTGGGTGGCACCTGGAGTTGTTTAGTAGGCATTAATATTAGATCATCTAATCAGGTCCAGCTTCATACTTCAGAAGCTTCTCCAACTTTGTATGTTCTAGTGCCAAGTTTCCATTTTTAACTAATTGTACTTTGAGGAGAAAGATTAATAAATCAAATGAGGGGGAAAAAAATAAGTTCTTGCCAAATCCCCAAACAATAGATATTGTTGAGCTCCAGGACTGACGCTCCAAAGGGCTTTGCTTAAGCCCTAGATCTTTGAAAACAACAATTCTACATTTTTGTTCTTCATTCATTGTTCTACTTTGCAATTGAAAAACATTTTTATCCACATTACAAAGCCCAGGTGATCTATTAGCTGAATGCTACTAATGAAGGAGAACAAAGGAATATTTGTGAATTTCTTTTCCATGAGATAAACAGAGACAACTATTGGCAAGAAAGCAAGGAGGGTTGGTTTATTCTATTAAAAGCAGCATTTTGTTAACTTTTTTGTTAAGTCAGAGTCTTACTCTGTTCCCCAGGCTGGAGTGCAGTGGTGCGATCCATCTCACTACAGCCTCCACATCCCAAGTTTAAGTGATTCTCATGCCTCAGACTTCTGAGTAGCTGAGACTACAGGTGTGTGCCCCACACCTGGCTAATTTTTAGTAGAGACAGGTTTCACCATGTTGGTCAGGCTGGTCTCGAACTTCCAACTCAGGCCCACCTTGACCTCCCAGAGTGCCCGGATTACACACGTGAGACACTGCACTAGGCCAACCAATTTTTTAAATTGCCAGAGGTAACAAAATGTTTCAGTAGGTAGAGAAGGTTAGAGTCTGTGGGTGCCCTTTGTTTAACTCACTACAAAACTATAAATTAAAAAAAAAGATTTTAAGGGAAGAGGGCTGGAGCTTTAATGGATTCACTCTGTGGGTTAATTATACACCATTGTCAGTAAAGAATATTTTAAATTGTTAAATTATCTCATGGTATAAATACTATATTATGGTTATATTTATGCATGTAGGTATTTATTTGCTTTATTTTTGTCTACTCATTACATTGTGGATTTCTTAAGGCAAGGTTCAGATCTTTTTTCAAATTTTGTGACCTTTAGAAGCAGTGCTACACAAAATGTGAGTCTCCAAATCGTTTATAACTTGTCTGAGATAAGATAAAAGCAGAAATGGGGAGTAGATATCTAATAATTTTAATAGGGATTTGACATGGCTGTGACATTTTTACCAAAGTGTTTGTCCACAGTGGTGTGGAAATAAAAAAACAACGGTCTGTCCCAAACCCTGAGAGTTTGAGAAGCACAGCTCCAATGTCTAATGTAGTACCTGAATTTGGTAAATACTCAATAAATGCTCATTAAATTATTTCAGAGATCAGATCTCTTAGGGAACAAAGTTAATTATTTCAATTCAAGTATTTTTTAGTGTCTCTGGGGTACTCCGGCCCTGTGGCAATATATCTAGGAAAAGAAATTATAATGATTTCTACTCATGGAATTAATAACTAATCAAAAATATCTCAGTGGTACAAAAGATTACAAAGGGATGTGAGGCGAGATATAGTTGTTTGCCAAAACCTCACAATGAAGAGAAAATGTTTATGGATTAAAGTTAAAGTATGAACTTGGCACATGTATTAGACTTCTCTAAAGGGACAGAATTAAGAGGATATATGTAGATATGAAGGAGAATTTATTAGGAGAATTGACTCACATGATCACAAGGTGAAGTCCCACAATAGGCCATCTGCAAGCTGAGGATCGAGGAAGTTACTTTGAGTCCCCAAACCTCAAAAGTAGGGAAGCCAACAGTGTAGCCTTCAGTCTGTGGCAGAAGGCCTGAGAGCCCCTAGCAAGTCATTGGTGTAAGTCCAAGAGTCCAAAAGCTGAAGAACTTAGAGTCTGATGTTCTAGGGCAGGAAGCCTCCAGCACAAGAGGAAGAAGTAGGCCAGAAGACTCAGGCTGTCTATTCTTTCCAGCTTCTTCTGCCTGCTTTATTCTAGCAGCACTGGCAGCTGATTAGATGGTGCCCACCTAGACTGAGGTGTGTCGGCCTCTCCCAGTCCACTGACTCAAATGTTAATCTTCTCCTCTAGCAACACCCTCACAGACACACCCAGGAACAATACTTTGCATCCTTCAATCCAATCAAGTTGAAACTCAATATTAACCCATCACAGCACATTAATGAGAACATGGCACTTGGGTGAACTTGGCTGGGAGGGTACAGACCTGGGGAAGCCTCACTTGAGCAGTCAAGGATGAGCAGGAGTTGAAGACAGAAAAAGTATTCTAGGCTCGAGTGAGGCTGGGTGGGAATGGTTGGGAACAGGAGCAAAGGCTTCGTCCTACACTACAGCCAGAGGGGTCCTACTCCAGATTCCCCTAGGCAGGGTGGAGCACTCGAGATTTTTCAATATAGAAGAGCCAATAATTTTTAATAAGGTTAATCCAGAAGATTTATGAAAAGGAACCCTTTCCTTTTCACAAGATCAAGAAAGTCTGAGGCTAGCAGAGTAAGCTAAATGGAGGCTGGTATGGTTTGGGACTGCCTCAAGCAGAAAAAAATGCAGAGGCATATAGTGGAATCTCTTTTGAGCCAGTGACGGGCTACCAGTCTTGGTGTCCAATGTCCCCTCAGGTGCTGCGAACACTTAGGTCCTTGCTAAGATCCTGTTAGTTTAGGTGACACAGGATACTGGAGGCAAAAAAGAGTCGTGTCTGGCTCTGAGCTTTTAAGCTCACGTGATATGACAACATTGGTATCATAAACTGGTAGACATAGGACCTGGAACTTGTTTGGGAGAGAATGCTGAGGAATGTTTCATCTTTTAGTTTTCCATGTTAATCTTGAGACAATTCTAGATTATTGTTTCTACGGCTATAGCAGACAGTTGGATCTGATGTGATTTTTCTTCTCTCACTCCAGGTGTGACGAAGATCCAGTCTCTCTACATGAAGACCAGACTGATTGCTCCAGTCTCAGGTATAAGCCACCACTGCTTGGTCCATATTTGTGAGAGACAGAAACCACCTAGGTCTGGTGGCTCTCCTTTGGATTCTAGTCTCTTCTTTGAATTCCAATTATTTGTTTTCATGCCTCATCTCTTCTCCTACATTTTTACCTCTTGATAAAATTTTGTCTTTTCCACTTTTGGATACCACCCCCTTAGCACCCAGAGCAATACCTTACATATGGGAACACTTGATAAATGCCTATTGAACTGAATATTGATTAGCCTATCTCAATATTCTCATCACACACCCTAAAGGAAGAGGCTCTAGATTATTCACCAAACATGTTATTAAGTGTCTGTAGTATGATCCTGGTCATTAAAGGCTTATGGTACTATGGCAAAACCTTCACTCTTAATCGTTTCTTCCACATTTACTTTGTTCCAGGCACTTTTATCTGTATCTTATTATTTGATATAAACTGAAAGGAATCTGATATTTCCCTTCTCATCCTATAGATGGAGAAACTGACACTCAGGAATGATAGCTCATCCAAAATAGCGTAGCACTATGAGACAGAATTTAGGCCCAAGTCTCTCTGACTTTACAGTCCACTTACTGGATAACAAGTGTCTGTTGAAGGCCAATTTTCTGAGCCAGGAGCCAGTCATAATTTGGGATGGAGAGAGACAAACCAGTGCTGCTCCTAAGCATTCAGTTTGCTAGAGGACATGGGCAAGAATATAGATGTGGATGCTACAGTGCCTTCAGTGCTACTATGCTAGAGGTAAATAGTGGATTCGCTTAGAAGAACCAAAGAGTTCAGAGAGCTTTCTTGGATTGATTCCTGAAGAAAATTACACAAGGCATGTTACTCTTTTTTTTTTTTTTTTGGTGAGGTCCAAGGCCAAGAAAAAGAGGATGCCACCAAGCAGAGTGAGTATCTTGCTGGAAAGCCAATAAACGGTAGAGAGAATTGTTTGAGTTGCAGAAATAGCAGGTGGTTCAGGACGGTAGGAACCCTGGGGACCTGGTGGAGTGAGGAGGTAAAAGGTAAGATAAGAAGTGAAGCTTTAGAGGTAAACAAAGAACAGATTTCCTAGAGTTTGTGTTCCTTGCTAAGGAGTTCGAAATTATCTTGGAGGTATTGGAGAAATTTAAAAGAACTCTCTTTTTTTTTCCCCCTTTGCAAATAATCACATAGCTATGGCCCTGCCTGAGAGTAGCAATAGCTTTCATTTATTAGGTTGCAGCCTTGGGTCAGTTTCCTGTGGTAGGCATTTAACAGAGACTGTATTATCTCTGTTAAACAGACATTACATCTATTTTATGAATGAGGATCATAGAGGTGAAGTGATGTTGCCCAGGCCATATGACTAATAAGTGGGAGGATCTTTCAGACTCTGGCTCTTTTCAGGACACCAAGCTTATTCTCAGTCATGATTTATTCCAATAAGTAGTGGCATAAATTACATAAGCTGTGCTTTTCTGTTTTGGAGATCCTGAAGAACCAATAATATGCGAGAAACTATATTTCTAAATAGGACTTTTGTAACCAGCTTTTACATTTGTGTAATGGGAGAAAGATGCTTTTTGCCCCCTCTCCCATTTCCTGGCTTTCCAAGTCAAGGAAGTAAACAAAATCACATTTATAAGTTTTAGATGACTTGAAAATGTGACATAAATGATATAAAAATAAAGTTCAGGTATTATTTTGGGAATGAGTGTATAAAAAATAATAATTTTGGATTTGAAAAGCTTTTTTTTTGAGACGGAGTTTTGCTCTTGTTACTGAGGCTGGAGTGCAATGGCGTGATCTCGGCTCACCGCAACTTCCGCCTCCTGGGTTCAGGCAATTCTCCTGCCTCAGCCTCCTGAGTAGCTGGGATTACAGGCACACACCACCATGCCCAGCTAATTTTTTGTATTTTTAGTAGAGACAGGGTTTCACCATGTTGACCAGGATGGTCTTGATCTCTTGACCTCGTGATCCACCCACCTCAGTCTCCCAAAGTGCTGGGATTACAGGCTTGAGCCACCACGCCCAGCCTGAAAAGCTATTTTTTTTTATTCTCAAGTGTTCTATAATCCTACTCGAATGACAGCGTTTAGGTAACTGTAAAGGCAGCTGTTCTTTCTTTTGTTTCTCATGCAGGATCATGGAGTGGATGGGTTTCCTGTGAGAAAAATGTACTTCAAATGAACTAGTGTAGTTTCCAATTCATAGTTTGATGTTAATTTCCAGATCTATTAGTGACTTAGAATTCTTTTAAAATTGTAAATGACCTCACAGCAAGACTATTAACCAGTGTCATTGGCATTGATTTGTTTTTCAGTTTTTAACATTGAATAATTATTTTAATTGTTGGGTTCTCCTTTATCAGATAGCACTACTACATTTGTCCTGGATTCAAGTTTAATTATTTCACATGGTTTTATTTTTATACCTTGTCCAACTGCACCCTGATCATGTTCCAGACCACCTGTCTTGATATTTGCTTTGCTCTTTTCCCAGAGACTACCTGGAACTCATCCTCCCTGATGCCAGCTCAGTGAATTTAATCTGCTTTATTCATTAAAAGTTGTTTTGAATGGTGGGCATTCCTTCTTTGCTGGTCTTGCCACTGGCTTTATGTGTCCTTGAGCAGCCAGGAATTGCTTTCCAAGTGACTTTGCAAATGCTGTTTTATGGGTGCTTTTGGTAAGGTAGCATGAGGGAAAAACAACATCTGTGGGAAGCGGCCACTCCTCATGCATTTCATGTTCCAGTGACAGTGATTGCCAGTGGATTAAGGTTAATGATATGGATTACATAGAGAAGGCCCCTTCTAGTTATGTCTGTGTTGCTTGCTGAATACTTGGCAGAATGAAAAATAAAATGCATCTAGATTTAAGTAGAAAAATGGCTTAAATAAGAGGGTTATTATGTCAGTATTTTTGAGAAAATTGAAACTGGAGGGGGTTAAGGACATTGTACTGAATTTGACTGTTGAGTGAAGAACACAAGGGCCATCCCAGCCCTGAATATATGAAGATAACACCACGCTCTTCCATCTTCTTCAGAATCAGAACCTGGACACTGAGATGTTTGACTTTGCATTCAGGACATTGTTCAGAGGGCCTGCGTGGGTAAAATTTGGCCCATGCCTTATATTTTACCCAGGCAACATGTAGCCTATCAAAATAGATCCCGTTAAATTTTTAAGTATCTCTGAAAGTTGTAGAGGATGATTATAAACTGACATTGCCAATAAAGAGGAAGCATGGGGCCTTGAACCAAGAACACAGGTGTGAGTCTGGAGACCCACCTGAGGCCTCTGGGTCTGTGTGGATTTGTTCTTCTATTAGGAATGTGATTTAATCTCTTAGAGTCTTCATCTATAAAGTAGGGATGATGATATCTCACCTGAATATATCACATTATTATTGTGAGAGGGAAATGTGATATATGCGAAAGCTTCTTAAAGTGAAAATTTAAAGATAAATAATAAGTACATAGTTACAACTACACAAAGTTTGTATCCATTAACAAAGATCAGAAGGGAAAGGGAAGTGATATAGAGTGAAATTCACATTTCTTGTTCATGCAAAATTGTGTGTATGCTAAAAATTTTGCTAGGTATCTATCCTATAAATACAGCAGCAATGAATATCTCCAGCCTTCTTTCCTGCAGCAGTTTATTCATCTTTTTTTAAGTGCTTTCTAAATTGGGTCTTTCCTGTTTTAGAGATGAAAACAATAAAGAGAACTACCCCGACGCAGGGGCTCTGGTAGAGGAGCACGCACAGCCCTCCTGGGAGCTGCAGCAGCAGCATGTAGAGCAGACCTTGCTGGTGGACGGCGTATTGCGACCCAGCATGGGCAACTTCAAGTCCCGGAAGCCCAAGTCCATCTTCAAAGCAGAGAGTGGGAAGAGCCACGGAGAAAGTCAGGTAGCAGCTCTCGCTCTCTCTCTTTCCTTAGGCCTATGCCAAGATGGGTGATTCTCAGGTTAGGGCAGACGTTTCTGGCAGACGATTTGAGTGCACTGTTTTGTAGGAGGGGATCGGCATGACTTGTCATTGTGTGCTCTGCCGGCCTGAGACAGGTAGAAGCTCTTGCAGGTTAAAAGTTGGGTGCGCTGAGCTGGCTAATAATTTGGTGCCCTTTAAAACATTGTCTTAAATATTGGACTTTGATTATTTATTTATTTATTTGGAGACAGAGTCTTGTTCTATCCCCCAGACTGGAGTGCAGTGGTGTGATCTCAGCTCACTGCAACCTCCGCCTCCTGAGTTCAAGCAATTCTCCTGCCTCAGCCTCCCGAGTAGCTAGGATTACAGGCACCCGCCACCATGCCCAACTAATTTTTTTTTTGTGTGGGTAGTTTTAACAGAGACAGGGTTTCGCCATGTTGGCCAGGCCAGTCTCGAACTTCTGACCTCAGGTGATCCACCCGCCTCGGCCTCCCAAAGTGTTGGGAACAGGCTTGAGCCACAGTGCCCAGCTATTGGACTTTGATTTAAAGGAGCAGCTGCATTCTTTTGAGGGGTTGGGGAATATGAAGGAGGATCTCTCTGCTTTCATTCACCCAGGTTGTTTTCGTGCCTCAGAGGTAGGGACTCTGCTCAGCAAAACCAAAACACTGTTTCATCCAGAGCTATTCTTTTAGGCTGAAGTTTAGCAGGTTGGAATAAACATACAAGTATATGTGTGTCTGTAGTATCTGGTTTTCTGAGGTCAATAAATAATTAAATGAATAAAGGAAACATCTTTCTAATACATTTTGATAATAAATGGGTATTTTATTAATTTAAAAAAATTTTATGTAAGAATGTAGCAAAGACTGATTTTTTATCCTAAAATTCCCTCATATAATTTATGAAATTTATGATGCTTTTTTTTTTTTTCTGAGACAAGGTTTCACTGTATCACCCAGGCTAGAGTGCAGTGGCACAATCTCAGGTCACTGCAACCTCCACCACCAGGTTCCAGCCATCCTCCCACTTAGCCTCCCCTGCTAGCTGGGACTACAGGCACAAGCTGCCACGCTCAGCTAATTTTTGTATTTTCTTGGTAGAGGCGGGGTTTCAGCATGTTGACCAGGCAAGCCCTGACCTCATGAGCCACCTGCCTCAGCCTCCCAAAGTGCAGGGGTTACAAGAGTGAGCCACCACGCCTGGCCTTTATGATGCTTTTTTTAAATTTAATTTTTAATTTTTAATTTTTATTTTTTATTGCATTTTAGGTTAGATTGAGTTAATATAATCTACTTTACCCTTAAAAAGAGGTTAATATTTCCAACATTGAGATTTTACTTGTAATGCACCTAACATAGGTTTGGGGACATGTTCCATAAGCGTTCACTTTGCTTTTTTGTTAACATTTAATGTGAACTTTAAAATTATGTGGGAGGCTGTTTTAAGCCCAATCCTATTTAGCAAATGTGTATCAGGAGATCTTCCTGTTATAACAACTTTGGCTGGGCAGGTTTTTTAACCTTGCATTTATTATTTGCTTTGTGATTTTTGTCTTCCTTTTTCCTTGGCATTGCAACCTCTTATTTAGTCAGTTAATTTCGTAGTGAGAGGAAAATACCCTCTGCATTAATGAAGCTGTGTTGCAATTATCTTAAACCGAGTGTAACTGTTGTTGCAGAGATGTGAATGTGAAATACCATTTGAGTTATGATTAGCTTGAGATTATTACTGAAGGCACTCCGGCACCTAACTAATTAGGAGAGTCATGCTGGGGAGGGCACAGGTTCCCCAAGGGCTGCCCCCAGAGTCTGACTGATCCCAGGGATGTTCTGACCTTGAATCTCCTACCACCGGTCATAGTAAGCTTCAGGGTGACCAGCCATCTCTCCTCAGAGTGCCTTTCTTGTCATCCTGTAGTCTGGCCTCACAGAAATTGCACAGTTGTCACTTGTAATAAGATGCTAATGGGGCATGTAATTCCCAACCTGTTGCTCATACACAGGTAGATTTCAGGGGAGAAACATGCTTGTATAGTCTTTGCTCATAATACAGCATTGGAATCCTGGACTACAGGTAAAATTCCCACTGGAATTTAAGTGGCCTGTTCTATCTGATACAATGAGCTGCATTCTCAAATGCCTTCCATTCCAAGCAAGACATTTGTTGAATAATGGAATTTTCCAATTATATCTGGGTTAAAACAAGACAGATCATTATTGAATGCATATAAATTATCCTAATGCCATAAGAATGTTAGGACACTTGGTATGAGTTTCTGAACTCTGGGGATCAGTGAGACTCAGATACCATTTTTAAATGTTTTATTTCAGTTTATATTAGCAGCATCTACTAAATTCTTGTGAGTTGCAGATAATTGAATCACAGAGAAGACTTGTTATATATTCAGAAATAGAACAATAAAACAAATGATATAATAAATAACTAAAATAAAATTTTATTAGTCCATTCAATCTTCTTCTTCTTCTTCTTATTTGAGACAAGCTCTCTCTCTGACACTCAGACTGGAGTGCAGTGGTATGATCATGGCTTACTGCAACCTCCACTTCCCAGGCTCAAGGGATCCTCTTGCCTCAACCTCCCAAGTAATGGGTACTACAGGCACCCACCACAACGCCCTGCTAATTTTTTTTTATTTTTAGTATTTTACCATGTTGGCCAGGCTGGTCTCAAGTGATCTGCCCTCCTCAGCCTCCCACAGTGCTGGGATTACAGGCGTGAGCCACTACACTCAGCCTCAGTCAGTCCTGTATAATTAATTCTTGTTCCTCTTGATCTCGCGTTAGTGGTATCATGACACTTTCTGTTTCTCCACTAAAGTTCTGCAAATCCTGACTCAGTCCACTGGTGTTTTCATATGCCTGTATCCAAGAGTCTGTCATTTGAAATGTCAATTGTTTAAAGTGTTTGGTCCTTTACTATGAGGCTGTTGAGATTTATCTTTACCAAAGACACAAACTGTAGCCTAATGCTGAATAAAACCTCAGACAAGCATTGGAGGAAATGAAACCATCTATAGATGACAGAAATAGAAATGGCTGTGGTTAGTTTACTACCGATAATTTTAAAATGCGAAAGGTCTGATGAGAGTTTATAATAAGCATAGCACATAATGTGACATGCAAACGAAGACAGTAAAATTATTCCACCAAAATTAGAATGTCTTGAGGATAATGAGTAAGCCGATTTTCAAAGAAGTCAGGGAATGTTATTTCTGATTTTATAAAAATGAATGAATATAGTTTTTTACAGAGAAAAAAACTCAAGATATAATACTCTTAAAAGATTCATGAAGTCTGGATAGGTCATTAAACTCAACAGACAAGTCTCATGTGCATCCCTGAGTGAAAACCAGTGACCTAGATATTGCTAGATTCAAATGAAAGAAATAAGGCTGTGGATAAGTCAACATTCTAAATAATAACTACACTTATCACTGATCGGTATCATTCTCTAGATATCAAGCAAAGCTCCACCAGGACTTGGACCAATATGGGAGAATTTGATAAAACTATTTCATAAGAGTTTTCATCACAGGGAAACTGTCACACTAATTGTGTTTACCATGTAGTATGGTTGAAAGAGTGGTTCTGTTTGTAAACAGAACACTCTTTATTTGGGGGAACTTGAGTTTATGTTGCAGCTACAAATCCTACCTGATGCTTGTTGCCATCATCAAGACACTGAGTTCTAATGGTTGTGCTATAGGATTGTCATTCCCCAAAATAACATGAAGGCCTTATGGGCACAACCTTCATAATTTAAAACCAACCCTCTTTGAAACTGAAGAGCACCATCATAGATGTTGCACTCCTGCCATTTCTGGGTGCTTTTTTTCACAAAGTTTGGAGGCAGGACCTCAGAGTGGCTCTTCAGGCTGATCCTAACCAGGTTAAAAACAAAGGTGTGAAACAGATAAAAGGAGCCCGATGGTAACTGTTGAAAGTTTGGCTTAATGTTTCACTTTTCTTACCTTTATTCTGATGCCCAAAGTCAGAATCAGAAGTTCTACTTCTGGAGGATCAGATTCAAATTTCAGTTTGAGCAACTTTTCTTTAATATTGGCACTGACCACTTATATGAGAATGAACCATGGGTAGGGTGGCAGAATCTGAGATTTTGTGTGCATTCATGAATGACTGATTCCGGTTTTGCACCCGCTTTGAATGAAAAAGTGAAAATGGGAGAGATTTAGTTATATTTGCTGATATAACAGAAGACCAGGAACTGGAAGGCAATGCAAGAATGCCCTCTAATAAGTTAAGGTATTTAGAATAAGGAGAATATTTATTTGAATTGGAGTCATTTTTCCTTTCTGCTTGTTTATCTCTTTCTTCCTTAGACAATAGGCTTTGCAAAAGAATGCCTTGGATAGGACCATTTAGTGATCTGTCTCCTGGAAGGACCAGTTTTAGGGATGCTATTGCCAGAGTTCCTTGAGATGATGAACTTGAAGTTAGAATGAGATGTTGATCAAAGTGGAATCCAGTGACAATTTACTCTTACGTAATATCTAATTAGATAGCAAACACCCTTTTCAAGAAGGAGAACCAATTTAAGATATGGATTATATGTTATAATATTTCATGAAAAATTAACAATGATCCTGTATTGATCACCATATAAGTCATAAAAGTGACTTACAACCCAATTTGGGGAGGATTAGACTTAACTAACAGAACCAACTTCCTGTAATGGACCTCATAACTGTCCGGAGGACACTTATTTTTAGCAATGGTAGATGCAGTCTTGTCATCCCCACTCCCTGCCATCTGGCATCATGCTATGCACTGTCCTGCTGCCCTCCCCTCTGGTGGCTATTTTAGCAGAAGACAAAAAGTAGGAGGCTATATAGAGCTTTTCTGCAGTGAGCTGTACACTGTGATCATACTGCTAATCCGCCCCCTCGGGGAGACCAGCTGTTTGGTCTGGTGCATATCAGCATCAGGTTTCTT